TGTATTTATCACATGCTGTGTGTGTTTGCAGTGTTACAGTTGGACTGAAATAAACAGCTTAAATTTAGACTTCAGACTCTTTAAAAAAATAAAAAATAAATAATGCAACAACTCAGTCACTTGCTCAAGTAAGTTCATGCAGCCAATCACAGTCCTGCATTCTGATTCAAAGGTTGAACGTTTTCTTGCCTGAAGAACAATCAACGGACTTCAGTGTTCTTGTCGGTGCCTGCAGAGCTTATCTGTAAAAACAGCTGCTGTAAATCTTCACAGCCCTCAGAGAGTGAGACGTGTTTTCTTGTGCAAACCTGTTCACAGAGTTCTGGTTAAAACAATGTGCACACAGAAAAACACCCATTCTGTGTGCAGCTTTTCTGTTGCTGCATTTCACATACAAACACGATCCTCTCCTATATGTGTTTATGTGAGTGCAGACCTCAGAGTCAGAGAGTTAACATTTCAGTCTGATAACAGGTTGCTTCTGTGTCTTTAAATATGCACCATCACCTGGTTAATTTATAAGCTGAGGTCTGTTTCTGTGATCTCTGCTCATCTTTTCTCTCCACTGAAAACACAAGATGCACGTCTGTGTCTGAGATGAGTTCACACTCCTCTTGCATGTGTTATTGAGTCAGCAGACTCTGGGTGGAGCACAACCCTCCCCCTCTCTCATTTCTTGTAAAACAAAACTTACAGCATTACTTTCGTTTCCTCTGTGAAATCTTTTTTTCTTCAGACTTATAGTGAATTATAAATAAATTATAATATCCCCTGAACTCGAAAAGGCCTCAGTAGAATTAGCTTTCTTTATTTGCTCTGAGTTTATCTTGGCACTGAAGTACCAACAACACAAAGAAGATACTGTAAATATGACATGAGCACAAACTTTGCATTTGATTTGAAATTCAAATCATTCATGTTTTACTAAGATATGTGGGTCTGATTTGCCTAACTTATCCTGATCTGACTCTCCATTTTAGTGTCTGACTAGTCATAGTCATAATATTTATTTAACTTAAGTTATTTTAACAGCAAAAGCAGAATAAAAACTTGTGTTTTGACATAAGACACAATATGACTTGTGACTGTATGTTTATATTATTTTAATATTATCAGAGCCTGACTTTTTCTCAGATGGTGATAAAATGGTGATTAAAAATCTATAAAGAATAGAAAGAAATGTGCAAATACGAGAGCAGCTTAATGCTGCTGAAAATCATTCATCCTGGGATTTATTACACAGAGCAGTAAAACAAATATTTTAATTTCTGCAAATTTTGTTATCGCTGAGTATGCTCTCATGGTTTCTGTTTATGGTTGGACACTAGAGCCCTGAAACTTAAGTTCTTATTTCTCCTGACAATATTGTCAGTTAGAGAGGGTTTTTTTTTTCTCATCCTTCGGGTCTCTGTTTTGTGTGTGTGTGTGTGTGTGTGTGCAGTCAGGAGAGTTGGGGCATCCAATTTCCTTTTCTTGTGAGGGCTGTCTGTTTTCCACATTCTGCAACGGTAAAATACGACTTAGAGGCGGATATTTGTTTTACTTATGGGCAACAGTTGTCTGCCCTTGTTCTTGCTCGTGACAAAACTCGCCTCCTGTTGACAAAACTCGCCTCATGGTTTAAACTTGACTCTGAGAAAAAAAAACTCTTTCCCACAGAGGGGGGTGCTTTAATAAACTTATTCGAATATGAGCTTTTTTTTCCCCACTAAGGCTTATTTTATGGGGAGATGTACGAAATTATTTACCGGGTTACAAGCAATGATAATATCGGCTGTTGACTCCCCAGTGTCATCATTTTCATTTTCTGTCTATTGAGAAAACCCATTGTAAAAGTATTGAAGAAAAAAACTCTACCAAGGAGCAGGCTGCGCAAAACCTACCTCATATAGATGTTTTAATAATAATAATATTTTTTGGGGGGGCGCATTATAGGATATAAGCATTGAGAAAAAACTGATATCTGCTGTCTCACTCCTCCTTGACCCGCGGTGTGTGTGTGTGTAACAAGATCGTCTGTCATGGTAATTATGGTTTGTTTTTCAGTCCCTTGTAAAAGGGACTCTCAAAAGGAAAAGTAGTATTCAAAGAAAAGTATTCACTAAGGGATATTTATTCATTTTTACACATACGGGGTAGGCAGCCTGTAGGTTACAAGCGGATAGAAAGTTCTTCTTTTCATCACAAGCTATGGTGTAGCCTAAAAATGCAATTTGTTCACACAAGACACATGATTTACTCAGTCCATCACTTTTTTTGTTGAGCTGCTCTTAGTCTGGCTCATCACCTGAAACCTGTTTGTCATGGAACTGAACGCTCCAGGATTTGAGCACACAAGCCTCTCCACCACGTCAAGGTGGCAGCCCGAGGAGGGAAACTTTACTGTTGGTGCAGACATGAGGAATAGCTAAATCTACTGTCGTTAATTTTGTTCCAGCTGAACATTTTGTGGCATATTTCCTTATTTTTTTGAAGGGTTTTGGGTTCGCTTGGTTTCTACCATATTTATAGTTGAAATTAATGGGAACCCTGAAACATGTTGATACTGTTGCTTTAGATTTCTTTGTTGTAACGACGGTGGATGATAATACAAGATCCTCTGGTTTGTCTGCTGTGACATAAAAATTGTCACAGCAGTGCAATATTTCATGCCACCTGCGTGTCAGTTGCTTTATCACGAGTAGGACAGAAATACTTTACAGTGGTCAAAATACAAACTACACAAATAAATGATAAAGATGCTATCAGTGGAAAATGTCCTCTTCCATGATCTCCTGTCAGTCCAACAGATCCATCCTCTGTGTGTCCTCCTGTCTGACCTGCAGGTGAGAAACAGGTGTGAGGTGTCAGCTGTCAGGTAGGTGATGAGTGAAGAACAGAACAGAATC